CCCCCCCCCCACACACACACGCTCAAAGATGCTGGTGCGTGATGAAGTTGTTATTAGGTGTTGGCTAGAATTCACACTTGCCCTACAAAGTTGCCTCCGTCTAGCGTTGTGAACGCGTGCCTTGTGTTCCAAGTGGGAAGATATTATTTGTCCAATGTTATCTCTTGTTTTGTTCTTTGCACGGCTCGTCCAAACACAAGTTTCACAAATTGCCCCCCAACGCCGACTTTATCGGCTTGTGTCCTTTGACGACCTCCTCCCTGTTCGCCACCCCGCCGTTTTTGAAGGCCGGGTACGCAACAAACGTTTGAGAATTGGCTGAGAAGAACCAAGTGCGAGGAGGAAATGGGGGTGTAGGCTAGAAAGATAACAGCTATAGGGGTAGTAAGGGGAAATGCAACCATCCACTGCAAGCACTGCAAGTGGTTAGCTGTTGTCGAAAAAGCGATCAAGGTATTAGGCATGTCGCTAGACAAGAGTGTCCGCCGCTATTCCCTTTTTAGGGAGAGGCCGCGCTGAGTCTTCGGCGTCTACAGTAGAGACCACAGGCAACGGTCCTCTCAGATGGAGGAGAGCTTTTCGGGGCGCCAAGTGCCTGTGTGCTTTTCTCTTAGCTTACGAAATCCCAGGTCCCCGGCGGTGACCGCGCCTGAACACTCCCGACACAGGGGACACCAAGTCTTACGGCTCGCCTCGTCGAGAGAAAATTGAGTCCGGGAAGAAGCCGTGGCCCAGGGCAGTCTAATGTTCAGACCCACAAGCTGCCATTTGCCCCTTGCGCACACCCGCCGGCAAACACCCCAGCGATGAACCCACACAAAACAGAACGCCCCGTTGCAAGAAAACGGCGGAGGAAAATGTTTTCGAAGGAGATACATACGCGCTGTTCGTCGACACAGCAGTGGCGGAATGTTGTCGCGTCTGGCCTGTTGCCCAGCCACCATCCACCGGCGGACGAACCACTGAAGCTTGGTAACACGACGAAAGGTTTACTCCGCGAAGGGCTGAATCGTTGCAAGAGGAACAACGTTTGAAGTTCCAACACCACGATAAAGCCACTCTCACCGGGTAACTGCATACATTACGACTATCAATCATCCACGCACCGGCCAAAGGAACAGGGGGGGGTGATAGCCAGCGTGGATCACGCCGCCGCTTCAAGACGACGTAATATTCTCGCACCGTTTGGCCAATCAGAATTCAGCCGCGCTTCGGTGTTGGCCAATAAGAATCAATCACGCACTTCGCACGTTTTCTCAGCGGCATTTAATGTTCTCTGCAAATAGCGACGTCCACCCTCTTCGGAATCAACTCTCATACACACGGTAGCCCCATTCGTTCTTACTATTATTGTTGCGGGTAAACGTGCAAACTAGGTATGGCACACTGCTGTCGTCAAGGACAACAATCCAGCAGCTAATCGACCGAGTAGCTATAAAAAAGAGAAAAGGTGCGTATGATATTGTAGCACATCGTCCACCACTACTGCTGCCACATTAAAATAGAAAAAGAGAACACCTGCGATACACACACACTCCATCAGGTTACGTCAGGCAAGTTACACACCCGGGATGCCCATTCAACCCATGGCATATCTGGCTTGCCACAGCAAACGCAAGGATCATGACCAGCTTCTAGGTCATCCTTGTGAAACGTAGCGTGGGCCGGCGAAAACCCGACATATCGCTCCATATTCGGCATTGAAGGGATGCGAGGTCAATGGTCTAACGACTACGGCATGCATATACATGAGTACCCCTCGCCCCAAAACAAAATGTGGCCCAGTCACGGAGGAAACGCCTGCTCCACGTTGTCCTCTTTACCCAGGAGCGCGGCGCATGCATCGTGCACGCACGTACAAAGGAATGCAGGGTGGTTGTCTTGTCAATTTTCGTGTGCGGGGAACTCGACATAATTTCTCCTCTTGGCTTGTCGACGCTTCTTCTTGAGCTTCGCGGCCTGCGCACAAGACATTGACATCCAGGTTTGATGTTGTCAAAGGCGATGGTAAAGCGCATGGAGGTAAGGTGTGGTAAAAACAAAAAATGAGGCAAGCGTCAGGAGTAAGCCTCAGAAGCAGCGAGATTAACAAAATTACGAAAGGTTGGGGGAAGCATGAGCCGCCTGGTATGTATGCACCCGAGATATGCATAGGAGTGGCCAAGAATTAAATGTGACGAAAGAGAGAGGAGATCGTCCACCCTTGGCAGACGTCACGGACACTATTGTCACCTCCTTATTGCTTCCCCCTATGTATTCAGAAGCGTGTTATTATTGTTGTTTGCTAGACAGGAAGAAGGAGTCTATAAAAGTGGTGACCGGAACCCGAACGGCTGGCGTCGAGTCGATCCACGGTCTCCTGGGCGTCGTTTCGAAGGGGGCGCTAGTATACGTCCGCCACGTCTTTAGATGTGTTCCACACGCCCAAAAACTGCAAAGTTTTTTCCATTCCATATTTTTTGCGTGGTTGCCGCTACGTATGCCCCAGACAGACAATTTCGTGTTCGGGCGCCGCCGCTTGCCTACGAAGAAATCCAACGCGAAACGGCGGAGCTCCCGGGAGCACGACACAAAGTCTCAGTGATGTCGGCTACTGCGACTGGAAGGTGCTACGTGAACATGTTACGTACGCGTATTCGCCGACTTTGGGCAATTGGAGTTACAGTACGTCCGTCAGCTGCGGCAACACCGGGGGGAGGGGGCGAAACACAGGGGGGTCCCGCAGAAGCAGGCAGTTAATCCCGATCTCCCACAAAATCTCACCAGTTCAGAGGCCGTGTTTCGTCCACCCTCGCCGCCCTTTGCACCCCCACTGACCCCGTCCCCCCCCCCGCCGCCCGCGGGTCCCCCGCCAGCATCCTCCTCGCCAGCATCTCCCATGGCCGTGTCCTCGTCGACCATGGAGGCCTCGGCGTCGGAGAGGCTCCTCGCTCGCCCTCGGGTGCGGCCGCGGGCGTTTCGCGACGGGGACGGCGCCGGTGCCGTCGCTTCGTCATTATCCTGAAGCCGGGGAAATACAAAGGGAAGGGGGAGAGAGCGAGAGGGAGGGAGAGGGAGAGAGAGAGAGAGAGAGAGATAGAGAGAGAGGGAAGCAGGAGCAATCGCAAAAATAGAAGAAAATAAGAATCAAGACTAACAAAACTCACGAGCGTGACCGCCGAAAGAAAAAAAAAAGGTGAAGCAAAAAAAAGTGACTCCAATGGATGTGCGCACGCCGGGGATCAGCGAGGACGTGAGGATTCAACAAAGGTGTCGCGAAGGATTTGCCAAGGTTGACGACCTGTCCATTACTTCGCCGCCTTCTCGGCCTCGGCCACTCCAACCAATCTCCAGCTTTTCAGCTTTTCAAGTATTCTCGAGCGGTGCGTCTTGGCATGCGAGGTGCGTTCATCTCCCAAGCAGCGGCGGCGCCGGAACTAAAGCAGTATTCCACGCCTGGCTCGGCGACACGGTGGCGGCAACAAACGGCCCGTTCCAAGGCGCATCTGGAACGGCCCGCTGTCGGCGTCACGGTGTCGCTGACCAGGCGAGGGCTACCGTCTGACTGCCGGGCGGGATCGCTACTTGAGGGACGACAGTGCGGTCGGTGGGTCGAGAGCGTCTCTCTCGCCTTGCACAAGGCCCCCCAATAATTAAGACGCGCATGCAAAAGACATGTGGGTGGCGACTAGCCTGTCTGGCGTCGGGAACATCCACGCGTCAATCTGGCACTCTCGAAATAGTTTATCCCGGAGAGTGACGTCACACTCCCCGGTTGTGACGTCACCGGTCGACCAGGGATTTTTCACATGCCATAAAAAACTTTCATTACTAATGAAACCCACAAATCGGGAAAACAGCGGGGCTCTGAAGAAAGACCCTCAGCTACAGAGGCAAGGCGAAACGTAGGTTGGCTACAATACAGAGGAACCGAGAACAGGAAAATAAACATAATCGACCAAAAATGAGACAAAACACGCGAATAAGATATTCGAGCGGCTACAGCAGCGGTAATTGAAGGTGCTCACGTCGTCGAACAGAGGGGGCGCGTCAGGGTGCCGGAAAGAGAACCCGCTCTTGGAAACCTCCTTGGAAGGCGGGTTGGCCGCCTGCGCCGCGGTCAGCATGCCCTTGAGCTTCGTCACGCTCTCGCCTGGTCGTGGGGTGTGCGCGCGGCGCCGCACGAGGAAAACCACACACCCACAAAAAAAAAGGAGACGCGATTTAAAATGAACCTGCACGTAAAAGTTGTGGGGATCGTTCGACTATGTAGCCATGGTCACGAAGCAAACCACACCAAGAGTTTTAGATACAAACCCATGTCGGATTGACAGAGAGGCGCAAGAACTGGCGGCAGTGAAGGCAGTGCAGGACCTACGGAACAACCGGGACGAGCAACACAGGCAACACAGGCCTGGGCCAACGAAAACCGAAGCTCGTAAGATGCGCTGCGCCTTCCGTGTCTATCAAACTCGCTGCTACTAAGGGTGGACATGTGCATTAGTAAATTGGGGTACGAAAAGTGTGTCTCATGGAAACATGGTGAGACCAGCGAGAACGGAAACAGAGCGCAACATGCTCGTGCGGTTCAAGTACACAGACAGCTGTTAATGAAAAACGGTTCCCATCTACTGTGATCCTATGTGTGCCACTCCGTTCACGGTATTCAACAAGCCGTCCAACAACATCACACACAACATCCCGATACACCGCACTGCCAGTACCTCATGACCCGGACCCACATACACCCGGTCCGGTGAGAACCCGGCGTGCTCCGTCTCAGCGTTGTAGTAATCGTTGTCGTCTTCATGTGAGGTAAATGGCCTAACGACTACGGCATGCACGGCTATGAGTACACCCCCCCTCTCCCACGCCGAGCCTCAAGACCCCAGCATAAAAGCACCCGGCACCTCAACGCTGTCAAGGGCGCGATGCAACCCACCTGCGCTAAACGCGACGGACTTCTGGATCTTCGCGGTGCAGCGTGCCTGCAGCTTCCGCTGGTGGGGGTCGCCTACGTTCTTGCGCATCTCCGTCCTGTTCCTCTTCTTCACCTTCGACCGAATACTCTTGGCCATCTTGTTTTGGCTTTCCCTTGACGACCAGTCTCTGTGCCTTCGCCTGCTCCTGCTGCTGCTGAATTCATGGTACACAGGAAAGTCTTTTTGTCGTCCGTGTGCCGACAAGCTCATCACAGCAGGCAGTGTGGGACCAGTCTTTGCTGCTGCTGCTACTAAAATTACATGTTATCAGGAAGGCCTTCTTGTCGTCAGGATGACGACAAGCTTTCAAGACAGCAGGCAAGACTTAACCAGTCTTTTTAAGGCGAGGGGCGAGGGACGCGACCTCCCCTTTGCTGCATAGCTTGGGACCGCCTTCGCGAGATCAATAAAGTTCATGAAGAAATATAACAGGGAGGGGGGACGCAGACCCTATACCCGTATAACCTTAACCCAACCTCCCCGGTTGTATGCATTATCCAACATGTTTACATATTCGAAAAAACTGCCAAGGCTACTATTGCTCGCGGGTTTCTCTCTGCTTTCCTGCGTTCGTGTCCTCATGCCTCCAAGTTGGTACATTACTGATGGATATGTCTTGCAAACATCCTTACAACCCAGGGTTGCCGCCACAACCCAACGGCTGCACCCGCCCCTCCCCCCCCCCCCCGATCGAAGCAGGAACAACGTGGTGGTCAAGTCAGGGCGTCTCCGTACATATTTAGGTAAGTAGAGCCAAGGTTCCGCCGCATTGTCACCACAGGTACACAATGTCTGCAATATGTAGCGCAATGTATTAGATGCATTCGTGTATGTCACGTGGTGAGCGCAAAACCCGCAGAAAATATGGCTTTGACGCTAATTCGAGTAGTGTAAGGTGCGTTAGCCTTCCTCCATACCTACGATGGCACGACTACTTGCCGGTCGTGACTTCCATGAAATAGCGCCGCTCGACGGCACAGGATGGATTGGGTGGATCCCTGCTGCATAGCCTAGAACGTGGATACATTTTTCTATCCTGTGTTGTCTCATACCCCTCTCCAACCCACAACAAGCCAGGGCGCACGCCACACCACAGCAAGGAAGCCCTCGAAACAATTGATGATACAACACAAGTCATGCTCACGAAAGAAAGCTTGGCTCAAGACAACTCACCACACCTCAGACTTTTCCCCATCAACGCAAACAAAAAACACTCGAAATATCTGTACGTCCAGCGGGAGCTCTCTGCAGCCACTCACCACGCGTCCTCCCGTCAAAAGTTATCGAAGATTTAGCCGCGATCAGCCAGCGCACAGACGCCAGATAAGCCCCTAAGATTGTCCTCTTTCGTGTTGACGTTGAACGCAACTGCCACAACACCTTGGCAAGCCCAGAGCAGTACAGCAGTGCTACGCACAACACACACACCAACAAGGGCGGTGCGCCTGGGAGGCCCCGCGATGGGGATTGGGAGGGGGGGGGTTGCAAAATAAAGGTGGGTTCAGCAGTCGGCAGTCGGCGAACCAACGCTCCGCACAACCGCAACCCCGTAAAACGAGCAAAAACGACCACAGAGGAGCCAGTCTACTAATCCTTCGGAAGTTGAGGGAAGAGCACGTGTGGGTGAGGGCGAGGTGGGCAAGCTTGAGCAAGCGGAGGGCGTAACAGGGCCACCAGTGGAGCTTTGAAGGTGAGTAGATGGAGAGAACGTGTGTAGAACTGGTACAACTCGTTGGTTGATCTTTTGAATCCTTCTTTTGGAAAAAAACCTTTGGTCGACCGGTACTCTGTGCTTGGACTCTCTCTCTCACGAACCTGTGATTCAAGTTCGGGATTGCTGTCCATTGCCAGCAGGGCAACAGCTAGGAGTCGTCGAATCTAGTTTTTGGGCCGAGGAGACCTCCTAGTAAAGCGATGTTACATTGCGAAGACGCAGCAGCAGTGAACGAGCAGCATACGTTTGGCTGGGCTGCAAGGAAGCCTTTACAGTACTTGTGATCGAGGGGTGCACGAAGCGACCTTCGTCCTCAAGTCAAGTACTCCACCGAATTGCTGCATGGGTCATGTCATGGGTTCAGACCGTGGTGTCGTCATGCACTTTCACCCGGCACTTCTCCCTCCCTCTTCTGTTTTTATTCCTTATGGGACGCTGCGCATATCGTGCTCCACCCGGTTTAGTATCGACGGCTTGTTCGGGAATAGCCATTTAGTCCGTCCGCAATAAGCAAAAGCGGTGGGGAAGAAGAGTAAGCAGTGCGCAGCTTGGGTGGCGACGACGTTCACGCGATTGCGGCAGTTCGTTGACACGGCGATACCTTCTTCTGTGCCCCGAACTTGACGACAACCAGGCCATATCGTCAGCCGTCATTCCGCTGCTTCAGTAGAAGCATTGTTGTTGCGAAGAAATCCGCTTTTCTGGCGCGCTTGTATAACGTTGATTGTGTAAGATAACACCCCCCCCATGGACCGATATTTGAAGCGTGATTACTCCACAACGAAGATAATGCCACTTTTCCAGGTAACTCTCGACGAGATGGCTCGAAACGCCGCCATTTTCGGCGCCGTCTTTGGTTACGCTGCAGAGTAGTCGAGCTTTTAAAACAGGAGGAGGTATCTGCATAAGTACTGCAATCCTTTCGGTATAACGGGTAAACGAGGAAAATAATATTCCACAATTGTTCCGCAAACGTACTTGTTGTACACTTGTACCACGACGCCGACGAGGTCGCGAGGCTCGCCTCTTGGACGGTCAGATAGTGGGCACTCTCTCCCTCGACACCCGAGCATGGTACTGTACCAGCAGCAGCACGGCGTAGTTTGCGCCCAGTGTTCTTCTTGTCGCCTTTCCCGCGACGTTTCTCACATCTCACATCCGCCGAATGTGTCCCCAGTGAATAAAAAAATTTAGATAAAAAAAAAAAAAAATCATTCCTCCGGAGTGGGCTCATGGGAGCACAGCGGTGTTATCAAGGGGCGATGCCCGATGAAAATGGCAGCAGGACCAATCCACAGCTGGCTGCCAGCTGCCTTGTGACGTTCGCCAACCTCATACAGCTGACGTGTTTTCGACTCGAACAGCGCAGCGAACCTTAACGAATCAAAATTCTGTGCAGCCGTGCACTGCAGTCTTACGCCAGAGATCGCCCCACGCATTAGGCTGGCGAGTCTTTGCGTACCCAGGCTACAGCACTACAGCAGTACCTCCGAATCTCTACCGTGGTGAACCGTACCAGTTTTTGATTCGGTTAAGGATGGGTTGTGCGACAAACACTTGTGCGGGCAACAGTTCTGCACAAGCCCTTGCGTGAATCACGGTTCACCTACGACAGAGCAAGAGCTTTGATGAGACGATACAGCAACACATCGCGTGGCCGTCCTTTGGGCCTACAGCATACCAACTGGGTCTGTCAGAGCCCTATCATACCACGATACGGTCTACTGTATATAGGACAGAGATGTTTTTTCCCATTTATTCTCTTCAAAACACGCAGTGATTTCATCTCTATCTGTCCTCAGATATGAGTAGGGAACAAATGAGCAAATGAGCAATTCATTCACAGCGTGGTTTTTTTTTAGTGGACTTACCTGTGTTTCTACGATTCCTTGAGCAGCATGTAGCGACATCCCCCCTGTGGTTGTGTGTCACTGAAAGAAAATAAATGCTTCTCTCAAGTATTGATAATAAATATGAGAAATACACACGAACCGGTGCTGTTGTACGCCCTGTACGGGTTTAGCTGCTGGCGGAATGTTCGAGTTGCTCCCCGCTTTTCCCGGCCTGAGTATCCCCGCAATTGAGGGCCGCGATAGTGCAATGGGGTCACGCCCACTAAAATCGGTGCAGCAGTTAATGAAGAGTCCCGACCTAGTGGGATTGAGAGGGTTCTTGATGCATCACCCCCCTTTATGTAGAACTGTACAGTGTCAGGGTGGATTTTGGCTCTTGCTATGGAACACGGAACACAGCAGTGTAGCACCTCGTCTGTTCCCGCAATACTGATCACCACAACTTATCCGAACCGCAATTGCTCTGCATACGTGCAATCGCCACTCGCGTATGTACTGCCGTCGTGGAACACTACGACTGGCGTTGTTAACCTACTCAACCGGTGGTTCTGATCCAGCTATTATGTGGTTCTGACCCAGTTATCATGTGTTTGCCTAGCATCTTTCCCGAATGCCATTCTCTTCGAACCGGCCCTCGAAACCGGTGCGTATGTATGCATACAATCCTCTGATTTTTTTATCGAGGCCCTCGACGACACCCCCCTACCCCATCTTCCCGTCGCGGTATCCCCCTGCACTGCTGCAGATTGCCGCGAGAGCAGGGCTAGGAGGCATGCCGGACCCCGGGTACACGTTGCGTCGGGATAGGAATGGCGGCCGTCGTCATCGTTCGACGGCGATTCCTCTAGGGATAGTGTTAGGCTCGTGGCTGTTTGTCATGCGAGCGAGTGGCTTTGGTGCGGTGAGTTTTCTGTGTGTGTGTTGTGTGTGTGTTGTTAGCATCGATCGCGCTAGCCGGTTTACCAATGAAACGACAAGAATGAATGAAAAGACGTCAGTGCGTGTGTGTGAGAGCTAACGACAGACAGACAGACAGACGGACGGGAGGCTCGGTTCGGATTTGTCAATCCAAGTTGTCGCAAGGATTGAGGACAAAACGAGCAACCATTACCCTTGGATGGTTCATGTTGCTTGTCTCGTACCCATGTATTTTTTCTCAGTCCTAAGTTTAATTGTGAAAATTCACTAGTGTAGGACAAAGGGGGGTGTCCCACTGCAGTAGGGTTCCTCGCTCTCTGAGTCCCCCGACATTGCTCTCCCGCAGCGCTTGCTGAGTTCCGCGATGTGTGTTGATCTCAATGCATACAGCAGCATGTAGCGTGTTGTTGTTGTTGTTGAAAGTCTGACGCTTGGCTCTACTCGGATGGTTCGCGCTGTCATGGCGACGTGTGCTGTTCGTCTTGTGTGCTGCTGTTGTTGTTGAAGTGATGTCGTCATTGTTATTGGATGATGACGACGAACGCTATCGTCAGCCTTGTTGTTGCAGTATTGCTATTGTTTCGTTGTTGGCGCTGTTGCTGATGATGTCATCGTCGTCGTCTTTATTGTTTTTGCGTGTCTGATTATGCCATCGGTGATGTCGTCGTTGCTGTTGTTGAAAGGCTGAGGCTGCAGCCGTCTTGGGCGAGAGGAAGGGAGCCCCAACCACTTCCTCGGAGAGCAGCATCACTAGGCTGGCTTTCGGCAGCTGCAACAAGCAGTATCTTCCGCAGGTGTGTAAACACATCACGAGTACGGCGGCGGCAGCAGCAGCAGCAGCAGCAGCCCAACTTTGATCGGTGATTCGATCCCGTTTCTCATTGTAATACCTTCTGTAGGGTACAGAGTGCGGAACAGAAGCAGCAGCAGCAGCAGCAGCAGCAGCAGCAGTCCAGGTTTGAGAGGTGATTCGATCTCGTTTCTCACTGCAACATCAATACTGCAGTAGGGTACAGGCGTCTCTCTCTGCCTTGCAGTGGCAGCATTGACGGGTCGTACAAAACTGGCTCGGTTGTGGGTTCGTGTGTTACCGCCGGTGCTTGTTCTG